TCTCGACAAGTCCCTTGTTGCATCTTCCATTTCTATCAGACACTCCTAACCTATCCTTTCCGATCCACATGTAAAGTTCGGTTTTGTCATACACCATGAGTCGTGAAGATTAGGCCTATGCTAACTTCACTAAACAGGCCTCGTATTTAACCCATATTTTCGAACAATATTAACGATATTTTTCACAAACTGACATTTCGACCCCTCGAAAACCATCAAAAGAGGATCTGTAGCGGTACAGCCTAGCCATTGATGGATTATATACGAAGTGGATTCATTGATTACACAAGTGGCCGCTCTCCTGGAAGAAAGTATGGAGAAGACAAGAACGATACCACTACGTTTGAATATCAAGGGCAAGTGAAGCCTTCAGTGACACGGTACTTTCAACTTATGGAATTCCCCGAAGCATAATTTAATAAGGCTTTCAAGCTTCTATGCCATTTATTATGAAAAATATTTGTAAGCTTACACTATTTAAAGAAATTCGCGTCCATAAAATTTCTATTTTCTCATCTCTGTCCAGCAAAGCGCGCAGCAGAATCCGTTGCTTTAAACACGTTCGACAAAGTTCTAGGGAAATGGCATCAATGGGTTCCGCAGCAACATAGGAAAAGGGCTCTGACGGTCTTGGAATGATTCCGAAAGACAGCATTTCTTCGTATTCTTCCTCTCATTGCCTCTGCCGCTGCTGCTGTTGATGCTGATGCTGATGACGATGATTTTGGTCCTGAGGTTGCTGAGGATGCTGTTGTTAATGTTGCTCTCCGTGAACATTTTTCTAGGAAATGAACACCTATCGGAAGGGTGTATAAGAGATTAGCTCTGGGGAAGGAAACTCCTACAGTTATAACAAGTGCCTGATTAGTCGAATCATATGGCCCCTAATGATGGAACACGGCTTGTATACTCAGTTGAACTCACTTTTGCGACCATATGCCCTATCTCCTGACTTTCTGCCGCCCGATGTGCTAGAGTGGAGAATGTCTCCAGCTGCTTCTCCATCATGCCAATTCTTTGAAAAGTCCCAATTCGCAAGTGCGGTAGGCAAGTATGCTTTTGGTTCTAGCGGCATCTTGCTTCCATCGTCGACTTCCTTCCTTCTGGTTTCAATCTTTATAGGAACAAATGCTCCGTCTTTGTAGAAGTAATAGCAGTAATCCCTTGTTAACCTCGCCTCATCCGTTCCAACCCCTCTCTTGGATTCCTCTTCGTTATTCTGGTTCTCCTCCCCACTTGTGTTGATAAGACCTTTCCCTTCCTCTTTCCATTTCAGCCGTCTGTGGGTAGAAAAAGTTAGACCATTAAGCCATTAGAGTTTGACTTGCATCCTTATGCAGAATGTGACATACAAAACAGTAGACATATTGGAAAGCGCAATCCCACGTTAACCGACATCATGCTTACCTTGAGTGCCCTACGATTGCCACATTTCTATAGAGGACAGGGACGGGGACTAAGCCTACAGT